TAGAGAGCGATGAGGTCTCCCCTCAGCCTCCTTTTCTCCAGGCTAAACAACCCCAGCTCCCTCAGCCGCTCCTCACAGGACTTGTTCTCCAGACCCTTCACCAGCCTCGTTGCCCTTCTCTGGACACGCTCCAGCACCTCAAAGTCTTTCTTGTAGTGGGGGACCCAAAACTGAACACAGTATTCGAGGTGCAGCCTCACCAGTGCCGAGTACAGGGGCACGATCACTTCCCTACTCCTGCTGGCCACACTAGTTCTGATATGGACCAGGTTGCCATTGGCCTTCTTGGCCGCCTGGGCACACTGCCGGCTCATGTTCAGCCGTCTTGTCAACCAGCACCCCCAGGTCCTTTTCTGCTGGGCAGCTTTCCAGTCACTCTTCCCCAAGCCTGTAGCGCTGCATGGGATTGTTGTGGCCAAAGTGCAGGACCTTGTTGAATCTCAGACTGTTGGCCTGCTTATTTGACAAGGAATCCCAGGTCAGAGCTTACCTGCTATTCTGTAGAGGGAAAAGTGCTTGCCACAGAAGTTAAGGGGCTCACGAAGCCCATACTGAGGGAAAGGATAAAGACAATATCTAATCTGCGGGGATTAGTTTGAATGGTCAGTTAACCACAAGAATTGTGATTTGGGCATCAATGTATGCTGTCAATTATTCTGGGCCTGACCATAAAAACCTCACTTCATACTAGGTTCTTGTAAAGCAATCATATAAGCTTGCAGTAAAAGAGCTGAGACAAATGGGTAGCAAATGTTATCATCCCAATTTGATTTTAAATAAGAAAGATGCAGCAATTGTGCTTTGGATTCTTACCAAAGTTAAGCTTGATGTGCCACCAGCCAAATTCATTCATTATACCCCTTGGTTTTATGATATTATACTTCAAAGTATTTTCTCTTCTTCTGGGCTATTTTATTACCCTCTCTTCATCCTCACAGAAGGTTTCTGTTGTTCATAGTGGGTGCATGATGTATTTTTGTTTGCACCTCATTCAGCTGAAGAATAAATGTCTGGATAAAATTTGCCACTTGAAAATGAAATGCTGTAAAAAACTAAACCCACAAGTTTGAAGTTCTCAGTGGGAAATTATTTCAAGTTCACCAGATAAATTAAATTTATATGTTAAATAAGTAACCTCTTAATAAATTTAAATAACCCTTCCTGGAAAATAGTTTATTTTTATGTTCTTTATTCCACCAAAACTGCATTGCAGTTTTCCAGTCTTTATATTTACATTATTTGCAACTCTTTCCATAAGTGCCAGTACAAATGTAACTGATGAAAATCCAGAATAGTCATACAAATGTTCCTGAAAGCAAGGTGCATTTCTGAGCAATTTTTTTCTGATGCGCAATAATATATATGTATATATTAACAAAGCTTCATAATATAAAATATCTTCCATGGCAAGTAAAACTTCTCCACTTACAGCTTATTCAGATTTCAGTTACATAGACTTCTGCATTTCAAGTTAGTGCAAATAATGGAAGAAAGAGCCTGAGCAGAATGATGTAAGTACAATGGAACAAGAGAAACAGCAAAATTTTACCAACTCCCTGCATATGGTTATAACATTTAATCAGTATATAATTAGTATTCTTTATATACAATGCATTTAAATAATTGGCTGGTCTGAACTATAGGAAACAAATTTACAAATTAAAATAAAATAATGTTTCACACAAATATGGAATGTCTGACAAATATAGGAAAATAAAATGCATCTAGTAACAAAACGTAAATCAAAAAGGTAAAAGATGTCTTCTCTGTCTTGGAAGATTTCAAGGCACTTTCTTGGCAAATCAGAATTCTCTTCTTAGTAGAAAGTCTGCAAGAGAAAAGGACATGCCATTTTATAACTAGTTTCAAAACACAGAGGCAGACCGCTTAGTATAATTCTGTTTATAAATCACAGTTTCCTGTGGACTGCATAAATCTTAACTACAGAATGCTAGTGGGTCTTGCCTTCCTGTGAACACTAATGAGTTTTGCCGTGGCAAATCCTCAGCGTTGACGCTAAGAGGTTCAACACATAGTGGGCCATGCTGCTGCATTTTACGAGGAAGTTTCCCGTGCATAGAGTCACGTGCATTTTTAGATTCTGGGTTTCATCGAATGCTTTACTTCCGTTTGCAAGGCTCTGAATTAGGGGGAGGGGGGAAACCAAAACAAACAAAAAAAAACCCCAACCAAAACCACCAAAACAAAACGCTAAAAGCCGTAACGGCGAGTAACTGCTACGAAGC